CCTTTTTTCGGATCAAAAAGACAATGGATTTATCAGTATGTCAAGATTTATTTTACACATTATATCTATGTTGCTGTATTATTATTTTCTAATCGTATAACAATGTTTAACATACAGAGTCTGCCTTTGGTTTCAAATTTCATGCATATGTACCTTTTTTATGATTTTTGTATTTTACATTTGTTAAAGTCTACGTATTCAAAGTAAAAAATGATTTCTGGCGATTCCTTAAGACTTATTCGAAACTGGTTTTGTATTCTGTATTTGTTTTAGATTCTGTATAATTAGCAATCATTTGTAAATTATATCATTAGTTAAAATTCTTCGATATTTAAGTGTGCTAGCTTCCCATAGGCTCATCGTATCTTATGGCGTAGATGTATCCAGTATAATATCTGACAACCGACTGAGCCTTCTATTTATAATAATCCTCGGTGAAGATCACATTTGCTTGTCAGAGGAAGTTTTTGCAGCGGCATATCGTCCGGCATGGGCTTTCTTAAAAATGGGATATTCCAGTTGTTGACCACTATAGATGTAGGATTTAGCCATCCAACTCCAAAACATCTCTCGAATAAGCGTAGACTCACGGTCCATGCACAATTGAAGGGCACGAAGACTTAAGAGCCGTACTCTACGTATTGTGGTCTGATCATAATTATTACAGGCTGGACAAAGTAATAACCTTCAAACTAAATTTTTATTGATGATGATGTGAATTATATAGAAGTATATTGTGAAGATTCTGTAATACTCAGAAAATTAAAATTTCCAAATGAATATTTAGTGCATCTAACGAAGTCGAAAAAATGCCCCACCTGAGATATATTTTTTAATCTCCTGTAAAGTCAAAGTCACTATGAAGAGGTAATCATAATTTAAAAATATTTCTAGTTTTTAATAAACGTTTTAAACGCATAAATCTAGTTTTATCAGCTTTGACGGCGCCGTAATACGAATGAAGTTTGCGGAAAATTTGCGAGTTGAATATTAAAATGGATTTTTGAAATTCGGCCAAGAATTTCCTAGCGTTACGAGTACACGGCTTTGCACGTCTCCCTAGAACTTATTGGAAAAACAACCATTCGTAGGCTGAATGTTACACGTGGTTGCCATAAGTTCAATTGCTTATTCTGTATACAGTGTAAAAATTGTATAAAACTTTCTATATTTATTCCGTAAACTTTGCTTGTAACATCTCCAATCAACCGATAAGAATACCGTGGTACAAGGCATTTGTACATAGCAAAAGATACTTCAAAACTAAATAAGAACAGATCAAAGTAGATACTTTTACTTTTCTCAGAAGTTACTATAAATACCAAGTAGCACGGGGAAATTACTACATTACTAGTATAATATTTGTCGAGTTCTTATAACAGATTTGATATTCGATGGCATTTAACGAAGTTTATGAAGAAACTTGATGCTTTTATTTATTGCGGTAGCTGAAAATAAGGTTCGTCATTTTTGAATTCCGCTTTTTTTTAAGGTTCAATAAAGAAAGCGCATTTTACTTAGGAAATATATTTCTGATAGAAAAAAAAGAACGAAACCAGAGGCTTCCCGCAAGTTTAAGAAAGCCAGTGTTTTTTACAGGTTACAGTTACGTACGTAACTAGACTACTCACATACATATTACAACATTTAATTTATTACTTTACATTTACTAACAATCACAGAAACAAAAAAATATGGATACTTATATTTTATGAATTACTGGAATTTAATTTTATTCTTGTATTTCCTGTTTTGTTCATATCCACAATTTTGCTTTTCATATTATTATTCTTTAAATATTAGCACTTAAGGAACTCTCGGAAGTGATCAGATGCTTCAATATGGAGAAAATACATCAAAGCAAATCATTAAATTTTAGTATGACTACTTCGTTTATATTCATACAACCCATTATCAGCTTGTCAGTGTGTTAATGTGCCGTCGCGTCACGGAATTGCTCAGACTAATTAAATCTACACTGATGTCACAGTTCGTTGCTAATATTGGTTGATATTTATTTACTTATGACGTCTCTGAAAGTAGTGGCGAATGCGCGCCCTATATATTTTATATATAAAAGAATTAAAAGTAACTTTTTGTATCGTATGCTACACGGTCGGTAAACTTTTTAACTCACTCATTTATTAAAAACTCGCTCCGCTGCGCTCCGCTCGCGTCAAATAAACTCGTGAGACAATAATATACTATAAATGTATTCGTGTTGTTTTGCATTTGAAAAACTTTTTAAGTCACTCGTTTATTAAACACTCGCTCCGTTGCGCTCCGCTCGTACCAAATGAGCTAGTGCCTCGAATGACGTTTACCACACTTGTTGCGTAATATAATATTGCTTCTTGTTTCTAAACCCGTTTGTGCAATTTCTTTATTTTTATCCTTTCCTAAAAAATTAGTTTTAATATTTACACCATAAGAAAATTCATTCGAAATACCTATTTAAAAATTGGGCCCATCTGCTGTGAATAACGCAATAAATTGTGAATGAAAATTTTCTATAAAATTATTAATTTTGTTGTTTGTTTGTTATTGTTTGTTCATAATATTAAAATGGTTCAAAAATGGGTCAGTCCATATAAACAAATGATTAGTTCAGCTCCTATAAAACTTATGAATGGCAAACCACTTTTCTAAGCACTTAATAAAAGATGGTTTGTGATAGTGGTTGATTGATCTGTGCTATAGAAAATCAGGGTATTCCCATATTCTTCTCCACTAGTATTCATAGACACTAAACACTAATCTAACCTTTCGATAATTGGTGGACACTCTCTAAAATAAATATTCGTAACTTCCGTATCCATCTCTAAAATTCTATTCCAAATCTTTTTGTTATCGAGTGGTAACGTGACTGCACATTAAAATTTCCCATCATTAACAATTAATGGTTTTCGCATAGGTAGTTATGTTTTATATTTTATATGTTTTATATTTTTTATATTATCGGTATCACCCATGTACCACAAAGAAAATACCAAAACGGAACTAGTTGGCGAGACATAAATTTGATGAAATTAAAGTTAACAATTAACAGCATATTATCCAACGAGTTTGATAAACGCCATTTGAAGACGTTTATCAACGTGTCGTTGCATTTTTGTAATATAGAACGACTACATTCACTGAGTGACGTATACCGTGACCACCAGTAAATATGGCGGAAGTATCAATATTTTTTGATTCCTGATGTTGCGTTTTCATCAGAAATTTGAGATATATAAGAATTACTTCAATAAAACGCTAATCTTTAATTTTGTTTTCTTTTTATACTCCTTGAAAGAAATAATATATTTTGGTATAATACGCATTTAATATTGCACACACACACACACACACACACACACACACACACACACACACAGTTTGACAGGTATCTAAATTGTTGTAATTTATATTAAAAAAATAGTATTTTCCATAACCAACTCATAAAAAAAATTATATTAAATATATTAATTTAAAATAGCTCTTATGTGAACAGCTAATAACAAACTCAGGCATTAAATAAATCAAGCTAGTTTATATATCAAAATCAAAAAACTCTATCTAGATCAGTTTTTCTCTTTTCGAAAAGTTAACACATAACCGGTCTACAAATGGTGCATAAAATATTTCCAAAATCGCTTGGTATCGAACTGACAGCTTCGACATTTCTATTTGCGATATCTTCAATTTCATGAAAAAGTAGAGTTGGATCTTGAAAGCCATAACACGTAAAATTTATTAATAATAGAGATACTCTGTAAAACAATAAAAAATGGGACACACTGACAACAAAGTAAGGCGAATTCATTTTAATTGGAAACAGAGCACACACAACTGAATCAATAATTAATTTTGCTTTAAAAGGTGTACCCTGCGGAAAGTAAAATATAGCGCTGAAAGTACCTCTTAAAATTACGAAGTTATTCTTTGATGGCTCTTTTTCACAAACTTGGCGAATTTCTTTCTTTGATCGCTTTAAAGAGAAGTGCACAACGAGTTTTCGCCAACTGCATCAATTTTATTATCTATTTTTAAATTCTACTCTTGTTAAGAAAAGACTTCTGTGAAATCGAGTTAGTCTGAAATTACTTTGAAAGATTTTCGACCATATCTATGTTACTTTTTAAATAATCTTAGTTATCTTTGTACAAGGTAGAGCAATAGGTGTTAATTCATCTTTATTTATCCGTTATTACTAATTAAATAATTTGAAAATTATGAGCCTATTGGGGCAAATGTTTTGCAATTATTGATTTTAGAAAATATGCTGATAATAAACAACATTACCAACTGGAACAGGTTATGTTGACTTTGCCTTCAAAAAAAAAATCGTCTTTAATTGGGTTATTAAATGTTTATTCTCCTTAACCCAATCATTTGATTATGACTAATACCTAATTGTTAATTCTTGTGTTTCTGCAGTTTGGATTTATTAACAGTAATTAATTAACATGTCTTAGTTGATTGTTAATTGAAGAATATTTATTTTACTATGATATAAAATTTGACTAAATGTGAATAATAAATTTGAAGTTCAAGTAAAAACTTTTATTATGGATAAAAACATTTGCATAATTGTAATCTTATGAATTTTTAGATTATATATTTTGGTTATTTGTCAAATTGTAAAATTGAAAAAATATGCAATTAGTAACAAAAACTACTGATAAGAAAAAGGTGCTACCTTCGTGGTACGCCATACAGCAAAACAATACATTTTGCTATTATTTGTTAATTCTGTTATTTTAACATTTAAGAAGTGGTTTTATTCGAATCTACAAAACATTCGCGAAATAAAATTTTACCTTCTTGAATATAATTTACTACTACTCTTTTATATGAATAATATTAGAATTTTGTTTTCATATTAATATTTATTCTATATTACATCGTCCTTTCGGTGCACTATGACCAAAAATAGTTTCTTATTTAAGTCACTTTTGTGTTTTCTCTTCCCATATTGTAACAAATTTGATTAATGTTTTGTCGCTTTTAATTTTCAGCAGAGGATGTCGTTTTCAAAATACAACGTGAATGCGTTTACTGATCCCTTATCTGCCCTTCCGTCGCCTATTATCCGTCGCCCACGCCAAAATTCTGTTTTCGTTGGCGGATCTGTAATGACCGTTATCAATCCGCCCAGGAGGGTGAAATCGGCAACGGACATCCACCATCTTGTTGTCACCGAGCACAGTCCGACTGCTTCATTGACAGGTGTGTTTTGTATTTAACAAAAAAGTGTATTTTTTAACGAAAATTTGATGCTATACCTTCCAGCAGAATACAACTGCGGTCTTATAAAAAATAGAATAATAAGATACTTTGAAAAATTTTAAAAATGAGGATTGAAAAATAAGATACTTAATTTAATTTGATTAGTGTAAACAATTTTTTGTACAAGTTACAAAGTACGAAAAAACATTTTTTACTGTTTTTTTACGTTATATCAAAATCTCCTGTTAATGCCAATAAAACTTATCATTTCAAATCTCGTTTTTAACCAGCAGTATGACCACTGACAGATCGTCAATTCGATAGTTTTCGGTTTGGGTGTGACATTTTTTCGTAATCATTTTGTCAAAATATGGTACATCCCATTTAATTTTCGGTGGAGAGGAGAGGTGTTTAGTTCGCTGTCAGGTGTTGCCAGGCAACTAAATGATGACTTTTGCTCAGAATAAAGATATTGAGATGCGGTTTTTACTAGATTGTTGGCCCTTATTTAACTAACTAATTAATATGTTAGAAAACTCCGCCTGGTGGCAAGGTAAGCAATCACAATCGCTATTGATGGACTAACGACCCCAAGTTTATTAAAATGCGTCAAGCCGTTTTGGTAATATGAACATTTACTTAAGAAAATGTTCGAATATCCATCATCTTTTCAGCGATAGATCAAACAGCAATAAATAAAAAAGATTCCATTTTCTCTCTTTAAGATAGTGCTTGCCACAGTCAACAATAGAAAGAAACCGATTTCAAGATGACAATTGCGCCTTCTGATTTACTTAATAATTTTTTTTCAAATTTCTAGGCGTGTCCGTTATCCTAGTATCGTACCTCGTTGCCCTTACTGGGACACCCTGTACAATAAAATTAAATTCTACCTTGTAAACTTTTACACTTTCTTTAACGACGCATTTACTACAGCTCTTTAAGAGATAAACAGCGAAAGTTTAAAATCTAAAGGAGGGATGAGTAATCTCCGAAATATTGGAGAAATATTGTGAATTAAGAGAACACCACTGGCTCTGTACCCGCTGTCTTTGGTCTACTCTATATCAAAAGCTTAATCGTATAGAAACTACCATCGCCTATATGGAACCTGTTAATATTTACTAAATTACTCGAGAAATTGTTTTATAACAATCTTATTAAATTCTAGTAAAACCTATTTTCGGAATCTCATGACAGCTTGCCCAAAAATAATTAAATCGTAACTACGAAGGCAATAAACTTTGTTAACAACAACATTGATGGTAAAATATTAATAGGAGGTATATTCAATGATTTGAGGTCATGAATAGTACACCATTCGAACATAAATTGAATGGCTTCGGTCTCAGCGGGTCGTCTTTGCAGTGGCAAATATTCTATATATTAAATCGCAAGCAATATGTATGTCTCTCAAATAATAGCCAGACGTTTGTCTCCGAAATCGTTTTGTATGCCATTGGATGATATATTGTGGCCGCTCCTAATTCTAACATTTTAAACACATCGAGTCGCAGTGGAGTGACTTTGTTCGGGTTTGGGGCGGAACTGGTTACAACTGGTTCTCGTCCCCTAGCCTTAAAGTGGGATTTCTTTTTTTTTTTAGAATAGGATTAGTGTTAATTGTTTCTATATGATTTTTATTTCTTAATCTTTGGACAATGTACCGTTTTTGTATTGAATTGGTTTGTGTCTCGATTTTAATTTTAATAATAATAATAATTAATTAATAAGGAACGCAAGTAGCAATTTTGATTATAATCACTTAATTGAATATTTCAAGTAATATCCATCCAAAAATACTGCTGTGGGTTTCTTTAAATTGTTTCCTCTTTTTCTTTTCTCTCGGTCATAAATAGTTTCTTGATCAAGTTCTGTTTTTTCAGAGTCAATGATGCAGTTATTCAATAACTGTTCCTTTAAACCTGTTCAAAATTAAACAAAAACAACGCAGATTAGTTAGCTACTAAGTTAGGAAATGTTTCTTTCTAGAAGTACGTAGTGATTATTCGAGATTTTTCGAGTCATCATTATCGAATAAGTGCGCAGCTAGTCCTGTAGAGTTTAAAAACGGTTTCAAAAATACCAACTCGAACCAAGCTTATATGTGATAAAACACACAAGAGAAATAACAAAAAGTTGTTCAGTCCGTTTTTAGCTTAACGATTTTTGTAAATAAACGTCAAATAACTGACACGTAACGTAACACATTTTTGTCATTTAAATCATATTTAACAATCGATTGTTACACCCAAAAATCTGCGCTTCCTGCCCATAGTTCCGTAGTCCCTAGCTCCACTGCTTTAACTACGCATATTGTCGTTTAGTGTTAAAAAATTACCAAAAATTTTTGGAATAAATACTTGCCGCGTTGCAACACTAGCATTAATTTTAAGAATAAATCGTCATAGTATATGATGCAACAAGTTTTATTAACGCCACTCTGGTTATGAGTTTGTTTGTTTGTGTTTAACAATCCTCTGTGTCTGAAGAAAAACAACACGAATACATTATCTGGGTAATTTGAGCAACTATGGCTACTAAATTGGAAAATTGGCTTCGTTATTTATTCATTAAAATTCAAAAGAAAAGGAAATGATGGATGAGTTTATGAAAAATCAAATTATTATATGTTACTGCCTTCTTCAGGACTAATAACGATATGATATTAGGACGGCAAATCATCCTTATTAATCTTAAAGTTGAAAATTGGCTAAACGTTGACTACATAACAAATTAATTATTCACATACTCAGTCCAAAACCCATCCATTCCTTAATATCGAGAGAGAAACTGTTAACCTTTTGCTTTTTTACTGAAAAAATGTTTTTATTTAAGTGTGCAGAAGATTTAAAAAGATGGGAGGTTCTATTTGAAATTTTTTAAGTATTAGCTGGCTTTTGTGTTTATTTTTTTTTGTTAATGTACTGTTGATCTGTTGCTGTCTGTTTAAAGCAGTTGCAGTACACTAAACTTGTTTTAGAACTACTTCCGTTTAAAAAATCTATAAGTGCCTCCGAGAAAATGTCAATTACGTACCTACTTACCGAGGAAATTTTGTATGAAGCTTTTTTAATCCCATTTCTACGTTTTATGGAGTTATTCTCTGTTCAAGAGAAAGTCAATTATTTTTTTCTTTGTTCTTTTCAGCTAGCTAAATAATGACCATAAACAATATTGCCACCGCTGAATATGGAGAGTAGCAGCAGTATCAGCATCATAAGCACGAATTCTAATTTCTAATCAAGTAAATATTACATTAATTTTTTAAGCAGTAAATTATTTAGTTTATTCTTAAGATATCTGCATATTATGGAAAATATTTCCGGTATTCCCATCAACGGCTGCTATATTGCGTGTTTGTTTATATGCATATGTATATTTTTCGGAAACGAATTCACATAGTCATTAACGCTACATCTGATTGCGGTGTTCTCCAATTTCCCATATACACCTACTTCCTAATTAATTTATGTTAACAATTTAACCACGTCTGGCAAGATTAATTGTTACTGATGAATATTTTGGTGTAATACATTTTCCCTAATCATGACGTTGCGTTAGTAGTAATGAATATCTACGCTGATGATAAACCCACACGAACTAAAATTATTTTTTACGTGTACCGAAAATCCTTGGAAAATGGGTAGTTCGACGTTGTCTTTTCCATAGATTGTTTAAATCACATTAATGAATCGATAGTTCAAATTCTAGGGTAGACGTTCATCGTTTTCTTACCACATGGTTCTATTAATTGCTGCATGTTGGAGGTTTCTTATCCCTGCCAACTGACCGATGCATCTTAATCCCGACAGTTTTTTTCTTCTATCTGGTCCTCTTGTCCTTTCAATTTTAAATCGAAGAACTCACCATTGCTACTTTATATTTCAATGCCGCACAGGACAACTAACCAAACAAAGCCTTTGTCCATTCAATATCTGATGCTGAGAATAAGGTTATCCGAAAAAAAGTTTAATTCTCGGTAAGGCTGGCCGAGCTGTTGCAGTTGCTGTATTCAGAAGAAAAAAATGTCTTTTTGTGGGATCTACCGATATTTAAAAAAAAAATATTGAAATTATGACCACGATATTCACTATATATTTTTTAAATATCAATAAATTTCATATTTGACACTTAAAAACACTAATTAGCATGGTATTAAAAAAATGACAAAAACTTGGAAAATAAGTTTCCACCAAATATTTAGAAATAAAATTTATTTTGGATAAAGGGGTTAATTACCCACTAAAGTTTATTTGCTATAAAATTAAATAATGAATAAAAATATATAATTTATTTAATGATTATTATTTCATTAATCGCTTTTTAATGTATTGCAAAATTGTAAAAAATAATTCTTATGTATTGTAGTATAAAATTTGATTTATCTTTTTTCGAATTGTGAAGTTATTAAATTTATTTCAGTAATTATAAGAGGGACCTTATCCTTGGGAGATAGACCTCTCCATTTGTCTATTGAACGTAAAAAATGGATCATACAGCTAAGTATGAGCACATTTTTTATATCAATATATTTTAATACCGCATAGGAAATAAAACCTAACATAGCACATATTACGATACGTCAAGTCAACATGATTGATAATTTGCATGATTTGCATTAACATTCTAAAGGAAACGAAATTCCGCATGAATAAATCGTTTTTTCCAAATATGCGAGTCGAAATCACTTGCCATTGAATGTAAAAAGAAAAATTAGGATTAAGAAGGATAAAATATATTGCAAACAGCGAGTTACCGCTTGGATAGAGAACAAAATATGATAAGAAGGAAAATATATTCCCTATATCAAAATCAGATTGTTTTCACTTTGGATAAACAAAAAGGGAAGCTAGAATAAACCAAGCGAGTTATCTAAAAGATTGGATTTAAATACCAAAAAAAAACAACAAACAAGTGGCAATGGAATCGCAGAGATTACGCACCGGCAGATGTAACCTTCAAGAAATTGAAAAGTATAGATCCGAACACGGATATATAATTTACCTAGATGGATTGATTCCAATAAAAAATGCTGAACAAAAGCACCGTCAAATAAAGGATAATGCACGCTCGTTCAGAAGAGGGATTTAGACCAAACTACTTGCTCAACCCTTTTGAAATGAAAAATTGTTTTTTTAAATTATGAAACTGAAATTCAAGAATATTTGTTAAACAATGAGATTTATTTATTTAATCCTGTTACCAGAAAATGCAGCTTTTTGAAGTGTTAAATTTACATTTCCTCCATATCATTGCATATTCAACCCCATAGATCATTTGTAGCACCAGGTAGAAAAATCACATCTGAGAGCAGAACACGTTACTCATAATTTAAGTCCAAGTGTAATAATAATTTAATTAACAATGTAACGAATAATATCCCTGATAAGAGCTGCAAAATGTAATACACTTTTTTCAAATTGATGATTTTACATCTGGATGCAAAATAACATAGAGCTCATTATAATTAATCTTAATAACTACTCTGAGAGTGAAACAGAATTAGGATTTAAATTAAAACGTACATATGTAGGTAATTATTTATTATTTGTATTTATATTTGAATAAATATAAACGCCTTAAAAATCCATCGTCCCTGATGCTCTGTCCTTCAATACCGACTAGCCAGGTGTTTTATTGCCGTCGGCATAATTATTATTTAAATTATTGTTCTTCCGTCCTTTCAGAGATACGTAAGGGCTAGGATCCCGAAAAGTAATATTTCAGGTAAAATAATTGTTAATGGGCTTAGAGAAATGCTCTGCCGTAAGTGAAAAAACATTAAAATTGGTTAATACAAAACCACTTTATATGAACCAACGCAGTGAGTAAGTTCACAGAGGAAGTTTTGCAACCCATAAAATCATTAGCTCTGACAATTCGCCGATTGAGGCCAAGAAAGTTAATTAAAATTAATTTATTTATCTCTGAGCCCATTTCTTCAATGTTTGATACCCCAACGATTATAGCGTCAGGTATGGTTAGGTATGTATAGGTAAGGTTTAAAAGCAACTTGTCAATTGTTTTGTTTTAAATAAAAACCATCGGCCCATATCGATCTACGGTTTACTGACAAACACCAGTAAGTGCAACAGCAACTCATTCGTCATTCAGCTTGACACCAATTTCGATTAAAATATGAAGACCCAGATATACGCCCACGCTTCCGTCAAGTATTACGCTTATCACCACTTCCACCTGAGCGCGCGAATTTAAATTTTATCATTAAGCCGACATGTATTAACAGCCTCTCCAAAAGCCATTTTGCTTTTAATAATCTCCAATTTATATTCGTCCCACCCGTACCAGGCAATATTTAGGGTAGTTGAAATTATTTTTTCCCGACTGCTGACAGGTCTATTATACCAAATCTAGTAGATTAGCAGAGAGATGGATTTGTTTTCAGGATTAGAGATACAAAATTTAGCAAAAATGTTTTTTTACAGATTTGTTGCATAACGCTTAAAGGCCCCTAAAGGACATTGATGAATGCGCATTCAAAAAGGTACATGAAAAAACGTTAGGGTGTATGCAGAAGAAACGTCACATATTTGAGCGTGTAGGCAACGGAGTGAATTTGTAATCTGAAATCAAAATATGAAAATAGATCACTGAACTGGAAATATTGGAGTGCTCAAGGAGATTTAGGTGAACACAACATTAAAAATTGGACGTTTTGGTTAGTTTTGGAAACAAAAAATTGCAACATGAACGCAGCAGATAGGGATAAAGCCCCACCTAATATTTCTCTAGAAAATAATAATGAGGATGTAGATGTAGCGATAATCGTACCTCATAAAAAAAAACATATTTTTTAATGATTATATTTGTTGTTGTTATATTGGCATTAATTCCGAATTGTAAAAACATTTCAATGTATTTCTGTAATTTTATTTTGTTTTTTGTCATTAAGAAAATTTTTAATGGTGCTAAAATATGCTAGACTAAGCTCAATAAAGTTGTAAATTATTTGGGAATCTCAATCATTCAGAATATTGTAGGTGCTATTATAGATCCTCTGTTATCATATCAGGATCATGATGATGATATCCGGATTTAACGAAGTATTCCTTCGTCATTACTACACATTTGGCGTAACGCACTGAGAATCCTGTATCGTTTGGGCCGAAGCGCAGTTCGATATTATTACTATACAGAAAAAACTTTTTCTTTTTTTTTTCTACTTTTTATTTTTTTAAAGAGACATCCACAAGCTACTATAATACTATTTACAAATATTTTGGATTCCTCCAATCGTCCTGTTTATTTCTTTAGACATTTGGAGCATTCGTATGAGGAATCCATAAAACTTGTAAATACAATTACTAGGAAATTGTTGAATAATGTTCAAAACCAAAGTTGTTCATTTGTCAGAAAAATCCTTTACTGTTGCAATTTAATAATTGCTCAACTCCCTCTCTTTCGTTGCTCCATCCGGTATCTCTCTCTCTATATGTTCTTGATTTGTTTTTCATGTTTTAGATTTTGTATTGTGTGTTGTAGATATTAATGTTTTCTATTTATATTATATTGGATCGCATGTTCAAATTTAGGAGTTTGCTGGCTAGATGAGCTGGCAGAAACAATTTTACTGTATACAGGGTGTCCTTAATCGTATGCAATAGGACTGCAGATTCTTAGGGTAAAATATTAAAGATTTGGTTAAAATTAATTTAGTGGAATACTTCTTAGTAATAAATATTGTTTCTTAGAATATTTACGTCTTTGATGATAATACTACAATCAATGAACCTCGCCAAAATTTTATGCGCAATATTGGTTCAAAATGATGTAAAAAAATCATCAACTTTTGGAATATCTAAGTTGAACCAAATCTTAATATTTCTGCTCAAAAAATCTGCAATTTTATTGTGCACTAACAAAAAAAAATTGAACATAATTTTATGCAATCCCAAACACTTGACCTCAGACCTCAGTGCTTAAACTGACAAGAATTAAGTTAAAAAATAAACAAATCCATGAATTCTTTAGTGTTCAAATCCGTTCCTCTTTTCTTTCTAGGTTCTATCATTCCCATCCTGAATAAGGAAAGAAGGCCATCGTTAATAACTGTAGAACGATCCGAGAGACCAATATTCATATCAAGACGCCGGCCGTCGAATGCCGTTGATAGATGGTATCCGCCACAGAGAGCGCGACGATCATCGTGCTTTGTAGAAAGGCCTACGAGTAGACATAGAAATTTTATTAGTTTCGATCATCCCGATCGCCGAACTCCTTCCACATTAGTGATCAGCGAAGGAAGGTCTTGTAGGTATGTACAATTTTTTTTTTTGGAGGAAAGGTTTCATGATGTTTTCTTTTCTCTTGTTTTATAATATTATGTTTCGTGATATGTAGGTATGTCTCGGATACTTCTCCCTCTAAATCATTATAACGTATCAGCTCATATATTTTTTTGCCACGGATGATATTGTGACTTTTGTCAATTCTGATGGCTACGTCATACGTCTCTCAGTGATCAACAATTATTTTAACTATTAATTTTATGAAACTTACCAAAACTAACAAATTTTGGCTGGCACCATTTATATACCGCCCACACCTTAAACCCGATCCAATCGCAAAAAAATTCTTTAAATGAGACTCTTGAATTCAATTCAAAAAATTTACTCAACTTTCGTCGGATTACCTTGGATCAGTGTGTGTTTTTACAAATTCTTCATGATATCACAGTTATGCTTACGCATTAAAATGTCAAAAAAGGCAAATTGTCCCTATACAATGCCATATAGTTGTGGTGGCCATAAGAACAGACGGCTATGATACGCCCTTAAATAATGGCATTGTTTTCAGCACGTGCCGCTAAATTTCACACAATTACCCGCACTTTGCGCTATTTATTTACTAAAACGCGATCTTCAAGCACTTAATTCCTTTTCCATTAACATTTGGAGGTATCTGCTTAGATGAAATTAATTGCTGACATTTATTACGATATGCATATTAATTTATTTGCCAGGTGCAAATGACACAAAGTTTGCAAGCCATATTAAATTAAATTCTTGTCACCCCAAGTAGATTCGAGACAAAGCTGATGGCGGCAACTAACGAAAATTAAATCAAATGTATTTGACCATTTACATGCTATATGCACATGCATTTTAATTGTCACAAACTTTTGAAACCTAAATTAACAAACAAAATGTTAAATACTAATTCGCTAGCTTTAAGTTGCCATTGAAATATGTCTCTATATTATCGAATTTGAAGTTGAAGCTTAAAATCCTATCGTGAATATTTTTACATAAAAAACGTTTGCTTATTTTACACATCAGAAAAAAAGATATATTTTTTTCTATGGCTACAAACAAAATTGAGAACCCGCATAATGCGGGTAACCAGTACAAGCAGGCAGAAAAACGTTAAGCGAATTGGTGCGCTAAACGGCATCCATTTGGCGAAATCAGTTTATGCTAAACGAGGAAATGAAAAAAAGGTAACTAAAATCTGTCCTACGTCAAAAGAGTCTATTCTAAATGGGCATTGAATATTGATAACCACTTTATTTAGTTTCTGCTCCTTTCCTTTTCCTCTTTCAACCGGTTTGGTCTAGTGAAAATTAGTAAGCTCGGAATGAATATTTACGTACAAAAATCTTTTTTTATTAGAGACTGTTGCTAAATATTTTAACCATATTGTAAATGGAAAGTCTTACGGAAATCATTACTTGCCCCATTCAAATATATAGTGGTTAGTTTTGGTGAATACTCCGAATTCCCATTATCATGATTTTTATTTAATAATACCTTTCGAACTGATGAATTTACCTGCTCTCTTCATTCGTGCCTGATTTAGGTGCAATCAACTTGAAATTACCCACTACGCATTCCAGCTCTGGTGTGCTTTATTAGGAGTTGCCACATCGTATCGTTATTTTCACGCCTGAGTTGCTGATAACATTGTTAAGAATTGTTATGAAAACAGCTTCGAATTTGCACTGTTCTCTTCAATATAGAACTCATCGCATTTACAAATTATTTCTAATCTTTTTATTTTCTGAGTCGGAAATGTAATATTTGTTGCAGCTATCATCAGCCAACTATCAGTTTTGAGACTCCAATCGAAACGTACGAAACAACGGACTGCACTCAGTTCCATTGTCAAGCGAATCGAAATAACCTGAAGCCGAAGATATCAAGAAGCTTCGAACAACCGCCAAGCTTAAAGCCGAAACCGGAGCGTATGGCGAACAGTTTAGACGTAAGCAGTTCGTTTAGTATCGATAGACGGTTGTCGATTCCTGAAGAAGATCGATCTTTTCCAATGGATGAGACTAAAATAACCGTGCCACTATTGGAGGGCATCAAAAGTTCCAACGTGTGACGTTAATGTGCCACTGCGGCAACAGATTTATTTTTATAGTATGTGTAAGTCAATTTTTAATCTAGATTATAATAATAGAATATATCAGTAGATTTATTATGCATTTGCGGGGCCATTTCAGAAACAGAAAATTTTAGTTGAAAGTATTACAATGACAATAAAGGTTCAACTGACTTTTTAAAAACCGGTAATCCATTTTTTACTGAGATTGAATTCAATAGTCTTCCTTTAAAACTCTCCTTCCGATTCGTGTTGCATATGTCTTGTGCTTTAAAAAACAAGCGCCAATGCTCTGCTGGATATATATCACCCAAATTAAAAAAAAAATTATGTAAACGTAGTTTCGATAAAACGACCGCCATATTTTAATAACAAGTATGTAATGTAATAACTACATATAACGTAAGGATTTTTGAAAAAGCCGTTTTTTGACATCAAACATTTCCGGATCTACGGTTATATGATTTTTTTCTTTTTTATATATGACGAATCTCTAGCAGAGCGCTGGAGCATCTTTTTTGAAACACTCTGTATATCATGGTTATATCTTTCTGATGTATTTATCAAATATCTATCTTTCAAATATAAACATTATAGATTGGTGGTACAATGCCATGGTGCCAAATAACTTTCATTACACACACTTCGTTATAGTGGTTTAAATTCGAAAAAAATAATTGTTTCGTATCCATGAAATAGCATATGATTCATATGTTTAATAGGGAAAGGAAAATAAAACAGTAACCCAAGCGAATTATAGGTAAGACCAGTAACGTGGTGTCCCATTTCGGTTGCAATTGCGGTTATTAGTAAGGACAGAATTTTGCGGTTCTCCCAAACAAGGACAAAATTGTCATACCACTCTTAGTTGCCCAGTTTTTTTTAAATATTACTATTTATATAATATATTATATGTATATTATATATATATTAAATATTACTATTTTTGAAATATTGATATACCTACACATATACAGGGTGGAGCAATAGTATGACAAATTCTAAACTCCCTCATTTAGAACAATTTCAAAAAAATGTTTTAGCGAGTGTCAAAAACAAACATAAAATATTACTAAGAGGTCAGTAAAATTCCAATGTAACTTTTGCCAATTTGACGAAATTTGAGCTAATTTGCCTCTTATTTTTTAAATGGAAGACCCTGCCTCTAACTACTTTATCGTTTTCAGTTACTGCACCTTCACCACTTTTGTTAAGGTTTGCCTATACTTATCGATCCAAGCAATATTAATTTTTATTAATCAATAAAAAAAATGTTTTCATTTGCCATGCGCTGATAAAAAACGAGAATCAATTTTTTAAGAATAAGCCTAGGACAAAGGAAGAAATGAGATTTATAATAAGGTTGGGGCAAATGTTGAAGTGCGGTATTACTAATTAACTAGTTGTATATAAGCAAGTATTTTAAGTTGATTTCCTATTGTGTAGCGGTTAGCGGTTTATTTTTGCCAAATAATAACAAGAATTAATAAAATTTCTGATTTTGGAGGCGCCAATAAAATTTGGCAGTAACAAAAACGTTGGTTTGATGGATATCTGTGCACGGCATTTTTTTCTTATTTATCAACAATATTTTTTTGCGTCTTAACTGTTTTGAGAAAAATGTTTCACAAATCAGATTGTTTATTTTATTATTATTACTAATATCTTGTTTTATTTTAATTTGTTTATTTGTTCTATTAGAATTGACCTAAGCATTAAGTACGCATTATCCATTAGCGTTCCTTGTTATATGAATATTTCCTTATAAACAATAAATAAAATTGATTTAATGAAGAATCCGTATCGTCTTTTTAAACGATATCTAATACTTATGCTTTTAATTATTTTAGAATACATGCAAAAAAACTATTTATATGTAGGTACAATTCAACATTTTCATTAGATAACAATTCGTATATTTTTAAAAACGTTCGAAATGTTGATTTTCCGCCATAATGACAAAAACCTAGGAAAATATAAAAATACATCAAAATATACCGGATCCCAATAAAATTAATAAATTTTGGCTATCACAAAATTTCGGTAGATTTCGGTGATATAAGTCGTCGAAATATATTCTTTTACTCTGGAAATCTAGAAATTATAAAATTACTTGGGTGTTTACGTAAAAAGCTCTAATACGATTTTGGTAAGTTGTGAGACAACAGAGGGGAGCAGATTTTTAATATCGCCCTGTATCTCGGAAACTAAAAGTGTTATGACAAAATTGTTCCACGAAATACCAAAACCCCAAGGTTCTATTACTAATAACCGAGATATCTCGCTATTGCCACCAAAATAGGTGCGTCCTGTACAATATTACTTTCATATCGAATTATTTTTCCTATATCGATGCCGGTTGAAACAATGTGGACTGTAACACCATCTTTGAAAATAACTAAAGGAAGTTATCTCGGGTTTTTAAGCCGTGAAAAAGAAGAAACTCATCTTTTTCGTCAGCGATAGGAAACGGTGTCCTACCAATAGGCACTACTGCAAGTAAGTACGTGAAGGTACTGCAGCTTTTATTTGCTGCAGTGTACAAGGTTGTTTGCCCTGAATCACCAAAACAATGAAAGACATAAGAAAAACAAAAATACTTACTTCGATGCATTTCCGTTACATTTGAAATTATTCAAACTAATTTTTGAAATTGGAAAACTTGTTTTTATTTGTTTAATATCCTGTTAATAGCATGTCAGCACGTCAGACGAATGTGGCCTTTCTGCGTGGTAGCACATTATCAACCTCTCGTGAGGTAGCTTTCTTTATTTTGTAATATTTGCCAAATACGTTTAACAATTAGAACTTAATAAAACCAGTAAATAAAATAAATAAGTGTAATATGAACAGGTTTGGCGTTACATTGGAATTGAATTAAATGGAATCTGTACTGATTGGGCCCGTGAAGCTAAATGCAAAAAGTTTTATCGAAATTAAAATATTTCTATTTCTACATATTTCTCTACTTGTAAGTTAAACGAGAGCAAACGATGGTGCAATAATTACTACTTATTTGCGTCTCCTAAACTGTAAAATCTTGAGACGACTATTGTATATTATAGATTTTAACACATATTCCATCCGTTTAGTACAACAATAACATTGATACGTGAAAGTACTATCATATGTATTATAAATTGTGATACACATGTATTTCTATCGCTTCTAGGACCAATATTTCAATAAATTGTATTGATATAATATATCGGCCCAGTTTTCCTTCTGCAATAAAAAATATTTATTAACTCTGTTGAACTACGTCGTGTCCCTAAATATTTGTTACATTGACTTCTTTAAGTTCGATTGCGGAATGAAGCGAAACTGGGTACCAAAAAATAGGAGCTCTAAAATATGAAGTTACTGATTGTTGGAGGTGGCTCAAGCTTCGTAAGTTTTGTTGATTTCCCTCTAATATTCTATTATCATTACGATTATAGATTTCTTGTTATATAAAAAAATTTCGTTTTATTTTTGATATCGCTAAGTCACATGTTTTCTCCACCTCAAGAAGTTTCGAGTGGGACCTATACAACTCTATAATTAGTATGTAGGTGATTGAACAATTTTATCTTTTATAGTTCGTTGTATCAGTATTGTATGAAACTATTACAACGGGTTTTAAAGTGTAGTAAGTAAGATTTTTCATAAGTGTTGAAGGGTTACAGTTGATAATAGAAAACAATTGATTATAAATAATGTATCCTTAACCGCCTATTTTCCCAAATAATTTCTTCACCTGCCCGAAAACGGTAAAAATGAAATAATAATAATCAATAAAATTAATTGATTTTGCACCATGGGATAAAGCGGTAAAAGTACTAAACGTCTGAGTCATGATGAGTAATTTATTTTGAAATTTGTTTTTAAATCAATTGGGTTAGTTTTTTCCGTCGGGTCGAAAAACGCTCAACTTCGGCATAGCTACATTTCTTGAAAAATTATGTCATCGAAAACTTTTAAAGATAAAATATATTTTTATAAAAGCCCAGAATGCAATCAAGTTGGTTTATACAGGATATATTAAAATGATCTTAGACCAGTTAAGTTTCATATTTGAAATGCAGCATCCTGTCTACAATTGCGCTTTTGGATTCTGCGGAAAAAATTTACCCTTGGTACACTTTGTTAACATGTACTGAAGATTGATCATTGTTAGACTAATAAATAGGTTTTTAACAAACTTTTGAAATTCCTATATCGCATCATTTTAAAATGCAGTACTTCAGTAAAATGTGTATTTTCGGTATAAATTAAGTGATTAAAACGAATTTCATAAATACCCAGTAAAGTTTCATATCGATTTTTTACGTGGCAACAGTAATAAGCTTCTTCCTCTTCAGACCATCCGAAAAAGTGGGCTATAGTGAATATTTGCATTCTTAAATAATAATTCTAGTAACATAAAAGTTACTTCGTCATAATTATACATAAAGCACTTTGTATCAAATACAAATTAAAATGAGATGATATTGGTTAAAACAAAGGTACCAGAGATACGTCTGGGATAAAAAACAATAGCAAGCATAAGGCATTGGCATTGCTTATGCGTTAAATTTGTTGGACCGTTAAATATCTAATTTCGTATATTAATAATAGCTTTTAAGAAAAAAATGCTATTCCTAGAACTACATAGCCATACTTACATCAAAATTTAAAAGATCAAAAAACTTTATTGCAACTGTCAGCACTCTCATGACAAATATAAAATCTTGTCATTTTGGTAGAAAGTTTTGAAATATCCATCCTTCATTTACCTATCTATTGATGCATTACTATTGTATTGCTATTACTGTTATTATATACTTTTCTTCCTTTCATTAATAACCGATTTTACTGCAGATAAATCGGCTTGTTTAATGTAAAATGAAAGTATTTGTATCTTCCTAAAAATGTTTTGAAAAGCAGATTATCAATTATATTTTCATTAAATAGGGTCCTGTTATTAATGGTACCTACGTTTTAATATAACTTTTTTATGGGATTATTTCGCGTTTTCAATACGAATCCATTTCAAAGATCACCATGAAAACGAATCGGAACGTATCGAAACTCAACCAATTTCTTCTACTTCCTAATTTATTAATGTTCGATACTGCCTAACATTGAAATGAAGTAAAATGCCGGAAGTTGTCCTACTAGTGCCTTCTGGTTTAATATATTGGAAATATTTTCTTTCTTTCTTATACAAGATATTTTATCAAAATTTGGATCAAGTTTCGAAACGCCTTCAATTCCCGCATTGAGAATTGTTATCCTCTTTTCTTCCGCCACAATTTTATAACAAATTCAGTTTGAGGACTGTGTTGGAGAGACTTTGTAACTTGAATTTTCCCAATATTTTCCCAAAATTAGATCATAGTAAAAAAACTTTATAAAGTCAACCTATTATATCTAGTGTGGCCGTCTGCAAAATGTTATTTATATATCTCTCTCTCCGAACTTGTTTTACTTTATTGGGCTTAGTTTGACACCATTTTCCATTTTGTCTTTTTTTAGGCCCTTTTTGCTGCAATACGTCATTTTGGTGACTTTTTTCATGTCATAGGTATCGTTGTCGTTTCATTTTGAAAGCCTTGGAAACATAAACTGAGACCTTCATTTTCTCAACATCCGTTCATCAAAAATTTTCATGCAAAGATTATTCACCGATTTTCCAATCTGACTCGCGAAAATCTCTTTAGAATTCTTGAAACAATGTAAACCGCCTAATAAGTATTATTTTTTCGTGATAAATTTTTTCAATGCCTGACGGTTGATAAATTTTGTTCTTGTCGTGAGATTGAGAACTTTGGCACGTCAGGCTAGAAAATTCGGAAATGGTTTTGTAGATTTCAAGGAATGAATCTTGAAAAAATCGTTATAATCACTTTGCCAACATTGTTCGTTAATCTTAATCGTTAACGATCTATTTTTTTTCACAGAATATCGTTTTCGCATTTCCGTTCGTGTTTCAAAAGAAGAGAGTATTTACAAATTTTTAATGGCAAAAAGTCAAGAATATGGAAAGAGCGAGAGGTAAACCGCAGCCTAATTGTGCTGTACGGTATGACCGAATTGCAGAGAAATTCCAATTAATTACCGAGAAAGTACAAGAAATATTAACTATAAGGAATTACGGTGTACGCTCGTTTTTCTTGAGTTTACATCTCGAGATATAATATGTATCAATAAAATTTTTGTCTCCGGATAGTCTAATCATTGTTATCCTCTGTGTTAATGTGTCAATCTTATGTTATTGTCTTTTATTGAAGATGAAGCGGCACACAAATTTGTAACTTGCAAATGTTATACTCTTACAATAAATGTAGAAAATAATATATTAATATCCTATAAATAAACGTTCAGCAAGTTCCACCGTTTGTTTCTTCCTTCTGGACACAACCTTTTATTTGTTCGAACAACGCGCGACATGGAAAAACTAAAAGCCATCTCCTTTTATGCAAAACTTTTACATTGTGAGATTAAGGGCGTCTCTTACAAGTCACCGAACAAGAATAAAATCATGTAGCAAAAAGGTCGTGTTTACAAATCTTCCATTCTGTTTTGCTTCGGGCTTGGGACGATTATCCACCCTTCTCGTCTTTCTTACGTCCGAAATCTGCCATGGAGGTCGATTTTCCATAGGAGTTGCCAGGGCGTTTAATTCGCTACGGAGGAGAGAATTTACCCGGACGTTTAAAGTAAATATTAATTAGGTATAACCGTAAATTAGGGAAAAAATAAGTATTTATTTGCACTTCTTATTGTTTATAAAATTTAATTCGTTCCTACGTTCTTGTTTGAAATATTTGTTCATATAAATACAAGATGGATCAACCAAAATCGGGCATAAGCTTAGACCAAACAAATATGCCTCGAATTATTAGAAAAGACTACAGTAACATCACCATCATACGTACCCATTAAATTTGCAATAACAGTATTTAGTATCCCTGTAGCCTTGCTACAAACCCTTTTACTTACGCCCATACCAATCTTATGGGGTTTAGCTGAGACATTATTTTGTCGAAGGTTGGTTTTCCTGTTTTTAAGTGTATTATGTTAGTCTGATGATATCTGACGGATAAAATTGTTAGCTATCCAGCTCCACATTTGAACAATTTTTGCTCCTTATGCTGAGTTTTGTTGGGTCGAGTTTGAACACATTGATGGTAATAATAATTTTCTCATTTTCAGATAGCGCAGTTTGCCGGAAAGTAACTATAATTTTAATATTGAACACTAAGGCACATCATTATAGTAGTATTATGCTATGCCTATAGAATAAAGTTAAGACCACTAAGTTTTACAGTTCAATAATGATTTATAACTCTCGCGCATTAAGAAACATATCATAGTTTCTTTCTTTGGCTCTATTGCGGTCTACAGTTTGTCAGGAATGTGGAGCTAGTATTTGCACGCTGAAAGCAGAAGCTAAAAAAGAACGCATTAAGAGATGTTATTGTTCAGGATCGGACGAAGTCAGTTTACACTTTTCTAATAAATCGACCTATTTAATTTAGCCAACGCTTTCAATATACGGCGAGGTCACAAAAATTTATATTATTTTAAATGTGACGCCTCCTAGAAAAAAGAATCACTCACTTCTCTTCTGCTATTGTTTTCTCTTTTTAACTGTGTACGTTAGACAGAGAGAGATGTTTTATTGGATATGTTATATAAACAGCGGAATAAAAACAATTTTAAAATGTTATGTTGTTTATTTAACTTGTTCAATTAATCATTAACTAGTTTATTTAAAGAAAAAGTCTGTAGTTGGATGAAAAATTATACAAGGATAGAGCTTTTAAGAGGTTTAAACTGACGTGGTAAAATGACACCTTCCGCACGCTATATTGGTTTATAACAATTAAGCATCTTACAGAAAGAAATAGAAAAACGGTACTTGATGGACGAGTTTAAGTGGCCCGACCTGAAAGAGTGCTTAATAAACCAGTTACTTAAAAAGTTTGCCAAATGTTTTGCGTACTATACATTTTCTACCACCTTTAGTTTTTGGGTACATTTTTGTAAAACAACACGAATACATTCACTGACAATTCAAGCCGTCGGAAATATCTCCGATTGCTCCCAAACCGGTGCTGTAATATTCCGGATATATCCGAAGTGGCTTCAATCCGTGGGGAAACGAAATTGACGTGGTAAAGTGACACTTTTCGCACCCTAGATGGGTATCGTATAATTTTACATTGTTTAGAGGGGAGTAGAAAAATTTGTTTAATAATTAGGTACGATTACTTTTTACTAAAAATTTTTAGGGTTGTAGAAAAATTTCAGTGTGTAATTCTACCGCAAAGTGACATAGCCGTTCTCACGAGTTAGCCTTTTCGGTTAACAACTTCTACTTTTTATTATTCTTGGCATCTCAGATACGTAAGTTTGCCCCAATTTCAGCTACCCTGTATGTCTCGTATCGTCTTGAATATATGTAAATGTAATGTAAAAAAACTACTTTATAGTTTCAATGACCTATTGTGGGCAAGTATTCAACACATCCTTTCAAAAAATGAAATTAAACCCCGAACCCTGTGATCACATTCGTAACAACCGACTTTTCAACCACCAAAATATTCTTTTAAAACAAAGAATGTAACAAAATTTTACCATTTCGATTATTCAAATGTCTGCCGTATTTAACTTATTTCGAATCGATTCTAAATTATTTTCATCCGAAACTTTGCTAATCGAAGATATTTCTGACTTCATTAATTACCCATATGTAATATATCGTCTGGAATGCAAATGCAAACACGCATCATGGACTGCGCGGCGATTAGTAAAACTTGATCCCGACGACGCAAATATTACGCGAGTTGGCGATAAAGTTCGTTAAAACCCCGATACGCGTATAGTGAAATAACATATTATCGATAACGAGAACTTAAATGTATTCACCTGCCAACGCACATTGTGTCGAAACTTGGGAGGCTGTCGGTATAGATCGGATGACTTCCTCCATGATGTTCAAATTTGCTTGTTGTTCAGTTTTCCATAGCGGTGGTGCAGTTGTGGTGTTTTACAGATTTTTCTACCAAATTATATATCAAAAATACAACTTCTTGAAATAAACCACAGGTAAATTTTATCTTTTAGTCTAAGAAAATTAAATGTCAATGTTGTAGTAAACTGACCTAAAGCAGTAACGATAACTTAATTTATGTGTCCTTGTTAATATACACACAAATGTTTGCAAAGTATCTAAAAAAACAAGAAATGTACAGAGTGTCGGGCATTATTGCTAATAACTATGCATTATCGGGTAACATAGGGTGTCTCGGCCCTATAAAGTCTGTTCATAGATATAAGAAAGTGATTAACTGATACGAATTAAGGAAAGACCTGGGCAAGCTGTAAGAATGAAATATGGCCGAAGAGGTCCGTACTTTGCTTAGAATTTAGTTATTTGGGGTTTTGTTAGGAAAGATACTAAACAATATTTATTTATTTATATATTTATTTATGTTTAAATCTAAAATAAAATTACAAATTATTTTTATTACCTACTTAAATTACTTAAAATGCTATCCCTATCATCGTCCGTTCTAATTATTCTTAGTTCTATATTATTTGCAATATAGATATACGATTGTTCTGCTTTTTCTGTATGTTTAACAGAATTTGCCCAACTTTTTGAAGGGATGTTAAAAACTTTGGTTTCTATAAGTGGACATTGGAGTTAACACGGAGAAAAACATTGTTACGACGAATGGCAGATTTCACTTGGTGCTAAACATGTTCAATGGGCTTAAATATAGAGTGGTAAGGTGTCACATGAGGAAGGGGTTTTAGTCAATTGTCCACTGTGATAACTTGCATTGTCCATTGCGATTACGCTATTAGGAGGAATGTTTAAAACTGGTTTGTTTTTAAACCAACTTTCAAATAAATAAGCGATGGTGTCTTCATTGTAATCCAGAGAAGAATCTTTAATATTGTTCTCAGACAGAGAAAGTCCATTTGGAATCCAACCATCTTTAGAGCCAGCATGCAAAATAATTATTCTTTTACCTCTTTTTGATGGCGCGTTTGTTTTACACTTATCGGTTGAGTCAATCTAACCCTTTTCCGGGGTATCATAAGTGTTGAACCAGGTTTCATCGAAGTAAATAATTGGCCTTTGTTGTTCCCTGTAAATCCTAAGTTTTTCTAGATGTTCCAGTCGCTATTTCCGAATTCTAAAAGATTCCATTAAAACTTGTCTTTTGTCATTTTTAACACCGGTTTCATCTTTTTCAAGCCTTCTAATTAAGATACCTAATGTAGGTACGCTTTGGTTGGTAAATTTTACTCCGTATTATATCTTGATCACTTTCATCTACACTCGAGAAAATGTCAGCGTCGCTTTTTTTTTCCTCGCTGAAATGGGATTATACAGTTGATGTTGGAATTTTCGTCAATGTGGCCGTTTCTTCTAAAGATGCTCGCTTGCTGGCACCACGTTCAATGAGAGTGAAATAAACATTGTTTATAACTTCGTTAGTCTCAATAGAAAAGTGTTTTCAACATTTGGGCGGGAGCATCTCCTGAGATACACACGCTGTATTACACACAAAAGAAGAATGATTACTAATAAACTTTACTTACTTACTTAAACCAAAGAATATTAAACACAGGTAGATATAAAATTATTTTCTATTACGGACCACAATTTTACCTGAATTTAAATTCCGAAATTTTAGGTAATAATCTTGTTGCATTGTATGTTAATGACCACCCTTGGATAATCCCATTCAAAAGCAATTAGTCACTTTCTTATATCTATGAACAGACCATACCAACATATATATATTTATGGCCGGTGCATTTTAAAGTGTTACAGTCAGGTAGCCGAAGGATCGAAAATACTCTGCGATATTATTGTTGTTTTCAAAATTTGGGAAGTTATATTAATAATAAAATGACTAATGCTCGAATGAGCGGTTTATTGATATTATTAATGAAATACATTTACACCTCGAGTTGTGGATGGATAGGCTGATCGTTATTATTAAGTTTTTCTACTCCCTATTCTAAAATACCGCAGCAAGTATGTAGAAAGTTTCACTTTGAAACGTCAGTTTTGTTACATACAGTCGCAACTTCGGATGTTTTCGGATCTTTAGTCACGGGTATAGGAGCGATCGGATGTTTTAGGTAGATTTTCTCCATGGTAGTTTGCCGTTTCTCAATTCTGACGATCACGTCAAACTCTGTGAAAAACGTGCACCTGCTTTTCGGTAGAAATGTATCCAAAAACTAATGCTGGTAGGAAAAGTATAGTATTCAACACTTTGATAAACTTCGGTACTATTACGGTCGAGCCATGTGCTGCATGCGAAATACATTTGAAGGAAGATAGA